GCAAGCCTGACTGTTGGTGGCTTATCATGAAGAAAAAAAAACCCACCGCCTTCATATTTAGTAAGAAAACTCAATGAAATGAAGAATTTCTAAACACATATGGTCCTAGTATTGCATGGTAGGATAACTTGGTATAACAGATGCTGTTTATTTTCCCATTTTACCAGTTAGGCCTGCATGATTCACCCAGAAAAGCAGCAGACTCTCCACAAAGGCGGCAAAATTACAGGACTGTCAGGGGAGAGCAAACTAATCCAGCGTCATTTCAATTAGGAGACGGTTCTAAGCTCCGTACTAAATTTAATTCCTCCAAATTAAATTTACGAACCTCTTCATATACACAGACTTATATTACAATCTAGGCAACAGGAGGGAATATTGATTAAATCATCTTGTGTAACCCGCATTTAAACTGTAAACATCTTTCTTTGGTGACAAATACCACTGCTCAATTTCATTTTTTAAAGTTTTCTCTCTCTCTCTCTCGCTCACTCAAAACAAATTTTGTTGCACCGTATGCAGCAGAAGAAAATGCAGACAATTGTGCAGCAATCTAATTATACAAACGAGAAAAATATGTGTGCAGGCGTGCGAGTGAGCAGTGCTGCCGCCCTAGCCGCTTCTCCCCTTGCGATTTCCTGCTAGAATGACCATGACAGAAATAAAACTGCTGACTGCATTCACGAGATGTGTGGGACATATTGTGTAGTCTTATTATTTTAAAAAAGGCATATATGTACCCGCCTCGTAATCCGGATTCCTGAAAATAGCTGATGAACAAAACATGAAAACCAACTACAGCATTTTCAGGTGGACCGGATGGGAATTGAGGCTCTAAACCATGTCTCCACTGGCTGTCTGGTGAGGTTCTGGGATTGCATCACCATCCTAAGTGTAGTGGAGAGCTCTGGAGCACTGTGTGTGGTGTAGGCATGATCCAAGGAGCTGTACAGCAAAGGATACATCATGGCGCGTTAATGTTCAACGCGGCATGTAAGTGAAAATGAATTTACATTACAAGGCAGTGTAAAGGAAGCTTGATCAATTCATACTACATTGCAGTCTATATAACTACTACAAGCTGAAAATGCTATAAATAATAACCTTTATAAAAACAGCTTGTGTCAGAATTTCCATATGATAAATGCTCGTTATAGACTTCAGCTAACAAGAACAACAGTCAGATTACCCAGAGCGCATTTCACCATAGAGCACAGCTTGTGGGCTGTATCTGTTGAGCTTTCCACATCATCACTACATAAATCACCCACGCCTCACTTCAGTGAAGATGGCCACCTTCGCAAAGGCGGGCCGCATTTCATCTGTTCCACACTCACCAGCCAAAACCCACACACACACACACCAAAAAAGATCCCCATGCACAGCACCACAGAAGAGTAATGTTACCCTAAATATCAGGCGTGTCATCAGCGGGAAAGGTCAGCGAGATGTTCCCAGCCCCGCTTTTAGGGTAGCAGCTGGCTGGGCCTAATGGAGAGTGGAAAGAGCAGGAAGGGTAATCCCCTAGAGATGGGGTTCCTCAGAACCAGGTCAAGGGCTTCTCTACACCGGACACACATTCAGCCTGCCCCCCGACTACAAAACTGCACATCACATTCAAACCCAGCTAAATAAACATCAATACGACTAATTCAATCATATTTCACACTTACGGTCCATTACATTATACCATGATGCTGTTGAATTCTCCCATCTGATTGGTCAGAGGGATGTTGATTAATTTTGAGACATAGTGCCAGCCAAGCAAATCACAGCAGTAAGTCAAAATGCGATTATAATCTTTAATTCTAACTGACGTTACTCACACAATATAAAATTAATGGAAACTATGAAAACAAAGAAAGCTGCAGATCACTCATAACAATTACAGTGCTTCAGGCTGAGGGACAGGACCTGTGGTCAGTGATTTAATACCAATATGATTTACTGATGTAATGCACTTGTAGTCCAGTCATACTTCACAGTCCTGTTTAACCTGCATAAACGAGCTGGTATGCAAGTCCGGTTTTAATTAACACCAAGAGGTACATAAAGCCTGTAGGTTTCTTTGCCTCTGCCGGCATGCATTTAAAAACACATAATGCATGGCTTGAAGCACATTAACTACAGATTTGGCTTACACGTTTGTACCTAAAGACAGGCAGCTGGGCTTAGCAACGAGCAATGAGTCACGATTGCCTTATTGTCTTAGCAACGGAAAAATTTTAAATTAACTACTGTGGTTTGGGTCGTAGCTATGCAAAATGTTTGACCATTGGCAAAGGTAAGCCAAATGTGTGCTAACTGCGGCATTAGTGGGTTAATGCGTTCCAAACCACCCATGATATGTTTTTAAACGGTAAAACCCTGTGCGTAGGGTGGCACTTCAACACCGTAGCCGTGCATTACAAGACGTTTACAATGAAGGCTTGTCTACATTAACCCTTACTTAACCAATTATCATATTCTCCGTTGCAGTATAAAGTACATTTCATAGTAATATAGCATAGCTACAGAAAGATTAAACGTAACGTCAATTTAATTTGAGAAATCAGTGTCCCGCTGCCTCTCATATTTGGTTAGTTTACACAGTCTAGATCAAAATGATTAGTCATCATGATTCATCTCATCTCCCCCCCTCCCCATTTTGCCTGGTGAGGCTGTGGTGGAAGAAGGCCGAGCAGGTCAGACCAGACCACCTGTGCCATGGCCACAGCCTCCATTTCATTCTGGGGAATCCCCTCAAGCCAATTAGGACTCCACTGAGAGGGAGAAAGAACGTGGACCGTCAAGGGGTCCCTGGGGAATCCCCTCAAGCCAGTGAGGACTCCACTGAGAGGGAGAAAGAACGTGGACCGTCTAGGGGTCCCTGGGGAATCCCCTCAAGCCAGTGAGGACTCCACTGAGAGGGAGAAAGAACGTGGACCGTCTAGGGGTCCCTGGGGAATCCCCTCAAGCCAGTGAGGACTCCACTGAGAGGGAGAAAGAACGTGGACCGTCTAGGGGTCCCTGGGGAATCCCCTCAAGCCAGTGAGGACTCCACTGAGAGGGAGAAAGAACGTGGACCGTCTAGGGGTC